GATTTGACACTAGTTGAAATAGAACAATTTTAAGGTATATGAGTAGTCAGAAAATAAAAGGCCATCTCACATATTTTATGCACCATTATCATTAAATGCATATTCTTAGACAGAAATTTCATCCATTTCTTCAATAATTTGATCTGTTTGGAAGGAGCATGTTTCTAGGCTCATTATATTGATAGATGGTAGAGCTAGGTCCATAGTTTCGGATTCAATGTCAGTGTTTAGGTGAAGTAGTGCAAAAATTGTAAAAAGGTTGGGGAGCGTAGCCATGGTATAGAGAAAGGTAGAAATAGAACTTTGATGAGGGGTGGCTTGTGTTTGAGGTGGAACAGATTCAACCGATACTATTTCCCTTTGTTACAACAATATCTTAACTTAAATAAAATAAGGAACTACACAAAGTAGGTAACCCAAAAAGTAAAGAAGAGCAAAAAAACTCAAAGGTTAAATTATGTATCTAATTTATCTTTCTTAATTCTTCACGTAACTAGTAACTTCAGAACTTGGTAAATTCTAACTTCTTTGAAGCCAACAAAACTTGGGATAATAGTAGAAACAGGGAGCGAAAATAGCTTTCCTTTACTAAAGGAACAACCAATGAATTCGACACTAGACACAACCCCATGGTTATTTTGGCGCAAAAGCAATCCCTTAAAAAGGTAAGAAATGAACTTAGCAAGAAAGGTTGACAGTTTGTGTCGAGTACCTTGTGTTCTTGTCTTTTGAACTCTGTAAGATTTACAAAACCCAACAATGAATAGTCTACCGGCAAAAGTAAGGATAATATGGTTATTATATTTTCTTCAAAAAACAAAGTTCAAAAGACAAGGACACAGGGTACTTAATATACCAAACACATCCAATAATAAGAGAATTTGTAGAGATCTAATTTAATGACAGGAACGTTGAAGGCAAACCAAAGTTAGTGTAGATTGTCAGTTACTGAAAATTGTAAAACCACATCAGAAAGAACTTGAAAGGAATATCCCCAAGTAAACTAAGATATGAAGTCCCCAAGACTTGTAAATGTTGATATAGCATAGCACATCATGAGCACTAAGTCCTTTAAAAACTTTTTACACACATACATCCGGAGAGATACATATATACACGCACACAAAAGAGAAAACATGCCCTGACTCCATTAAATGAAGTAGATTTTAAATTTTTTTTAATTGTACTCTAAGGACCTTACCAAATTCCACTGGTATCAAATATAATAGGCACATTGGAATATTGAGAGACATGAAGTCCACTACTGTATTTTATGAAAAGAACAAGTCAACTCAATAAAGCATCAAGATTCATGATTGCAATTTTTTAGAGTAGATAATATATCCTTCTACACATGCATAAATCCCAACAAGCAAATGTAAGCAAATTATGCATTTCGTCAATCACATAGAAAAATGAACATGAAAGTAGTTGTAGATTTGATAAAATTGGTGTTGTTCATATGTCATAGTAGAGTATTACAAGTCTGGGAGCAAAAATTAGATTGGATCAACATGGAGGCCTACGTCGGTTAGGCTTCCATGAGCAATCCTATTCCATAAGTCCTACTAGTGCCACATGGCAGTGGTGAAAGTATGCTCAAAGAAAAACTAGTAAATTTTAATTATACATAACAGTGACTACAAAATACAATACAGTTTCGTTTCCTTCATATAAATACATCTAGATATAATAGAACAGGACCCAAAAAAAAAAAAATCTCTGTTTGGATCACTTATGAGTGCCTTACTGAATTTGTTTGTTTGGCCTTCCTGTTTGGCCTCAATTTGTTTGGATTTTTACTTTTCTTTTATATTTTTGGGGACTTGAAAAGTTTTAAAATACTGGAGCAGGAAAAAAATAAACAAAAACAAAAACAAAAACAAAACGATAGCAACAGATGCTGAGAGCCAAATGAGAGAAAACAACCAAGAGGGTCTCAATCTTTACAAGAAATAACAATAACCCAGAAAACTATCTAAGAGCATCTCCAACCACACTCTTTATTTTTCACTAGCTAAAGTATAAAAAAAATGGCACTCTTTATTTTACCTAATCAGTTTAGCTATTGTGTGTTCCAACCATACTCTTTATTTTAGCTAGTCATTCAAACTAATTTAACCAATTTTCAAAACAAAAAATGATATATATATATATATATATCTCTTTTTCATAGAATGCCACATATGCACATACTCTCTAATATGGTTGCCAATGTGACATTTGCGATAATATTTTTAAAAATAATATTTTTTAATATTAGTTTTAAAAATATTATAAAAAATAATTTTAAGTAATATTTAATTTTTTTATTATAAAATTTATAATATGTGAATATATTTCAACATATGAATTTGGTGGAACCATCTTGAAAGGGAAGGGATGGAAAGAATAAAAGAAAACAATAAAGAGTTTTTTAAAAAAAAATAACAATGCAAAGGAAGTTATTCAATAATTGTAATTTATCAAATTAAGAACTGAAAGAATACAAATTAACTAATAAAAAACCTTACAAAGGTCAATGAATAAATAAGAAAAAAAATCATAAATAGTAAAGTTAGGAATAAATTTCAAAATAAATAAACTATTTCTAACACCAGTTGTTACAAATCTCCATATAAATGCCACAAATTCTCAACTAGGTCTGCTTGGAGTTTAAAATGAGTTTGTCTATCTCTTATTCTATCAAGCCTATATATTATGAAACTAATATACACTCTATGTTACTTTTATAACATTCTATCAAAAAATAGGAAAACCTGACAGCAAAAATGAATTCAGGCATTTTTCCCTTGCTAATGGGAATTACCTCACTAATTGAATGACAGTACTAGATATATATAAGAATATGAATCAACAAAATCACCTACATCTTCAAAAATGTAATATAACCATACCATATTTAAGTATGCACAAGTGTGCAGACATAACATCTTATTATGCTAATTTTCACTATAAATATTTCAATGTGTAAAAATCAGAATTCTATTAAAAATATAAACTAATGGGACTCGATACTACACAGTAACATATGGGGCATCTCAATTAAGCATAGTTCTAGTCTACAACCACATATAAGAGACGAAATCATGATCACTCACAATAATGGGAGTCAATACCAACGAAGCTACTGATGCAGACATCTTTCTTACACTCTTAACCATAATGTTTCAGTGTCAGTCACCGAATACAATAAAAAAGATAATGGCGTCACATACTCAAACATAGATTCAGTTAAGAAATTGAGAGAGAGAAGCAGGGGCATTGAGATACAATGCAAAAAAGGAACAAACCTGTAAGGGCAGACTGAAGCACCGATTGTCTCACACAACAGCACCAAACGGCACAAATCCTACGATCAAGAGTGAAATCGTGAGAGAGAGATAACTACAAATTTTGAGATAAGGGTGTGCAAGAGTGAAATCGTGGAGATTGATGAGGGAGAAAAAAAATGAGGGGATTTTAAGAGGGAATTTACCACAGCAGATAATCAGATCACCCCCACCCAAAAAAAAATAAAAAAAAAATAATAATAATAATAATAATTTCAAAACAATTTTTAGATTTATTTTTTTGAAAAAAATTAAAAATAATTTGAGAGCAATAAAAATCAAAATTATATTTTTAAAATTTTAAAAAGTATTTATGACGTAAAAGATAAAAAATATACAAAAATAATAATTTTTTTTTTCACCCATTTTTTTTTAGATTTTTAGGAAAAAAAAATTGAAACTAGTTTTTGAAAATAAAACCAAACATATTGAAATAGATAATCTATCTATATTCTTTGAAAAAATTTAAATTATCTCAAATTAGTCATCTCAACATAAGACTGTGTTTGGGCTTAATGGGTTCATTTTGTGATCTAATTCAACGATCATTTTAATTTTACAATTCAGTAATTAGAATATTTAAAACTCTTTGAAAAATTGTAATAAAAAATATAAATCACTAAATCACATCATTCCACTAGCAAAACTTTTACCGACGAATAGTGTTATCGTCGCTAAATGGTTAACTCTTTGCCCACGCCAACTTGTCATCGCCAAAAGTATGCACACTAATAGCAATGCTCATTGTGTTGTTAAAACATAAGCCTCGTAGCTAAAAGTTCTAAAATTTTGGCGCCAACCAAAAATTTTGGCGCTAAAAGAATGTTATGCTTTTTTAGCAACGATAGCAAATTGTGTCGGTAAAGGTATACTTTTACCAACGAAATTGATCACTGTGTCACCAACAATATACTTTTGGCGATGAAAAATTGACGTCGTCGCCAAAAGTAGTTGTTAGAAGTGCAATTTCTTATAGTGATTGATAGCAATGCTTCATATTTAAGATTTTTTTATTTTAGAAAAATACTCAAAATTAAAAATATGCAATTCAAATTCACTACAGTGTAGTTTATACAACACTAAATTTAAATCTATATACATTTAAATTCTGAATTTTTTTAGTAACAATTTCATGTAAGTATTATGTATATGATTATGTTTGATATCATTTAAAAGTTAGTTTTAATGATTATTAGCTTAATAGATTTAAAATAAATTAAAAATCATTTTAGTGAAACTTTTCATATTCTGTTAAAAAAAGTAAAATATATTTGGTTAGATAAGTTTGCACACAATTTTTTAATAGTGCAAATATCTATGATGCCTTCAAAAGTTAAATTAAAGTAAAAGAGATGGGACTAATTTGTTTATAATTATTTAAGAGTTTTAAATAAGTTGAAAAAATTATAAATTGTAATTTAAAAAAATATCACTTATTTAGGTGAATATATTAAGCTTGTTTTTAAGAATAGACTATTCTAATTAATATTTTTTTTATTTTTTATAAAAAGATATATAAAAAAAATATTAAAAAAATAATATGATTGGATGTTTTAGTTTTAGTTTTTTTTTAGCCCAAATTTCATGTAGCATTACTCCAATTATTAATAGTATTGACAAGATATGACACCTTCCCTAGCACAAGCTTGTCAATGTCTCCTTTGAAAATTGAATAATTCTCTTCTCTTATTGGAGAGATTTACCATTGCCAAAGACATTATAATTACATTTTCAACCCCACAACCTTAAAAAAAATAAAGCCAAAAAACCAAATTGATGATAAATAATAAAATCGAACTCTTTGTATAATTTGACCACAGTACCGATTACAAATGATATATGAACATATATAAAATAAGACAAAACGATCAAGATAATTAATGAAGGTGATGATCATGACGACAACGACGTCGTATGGCTCTTACAGAATTGGAAGCTATTCTCATCCATTCTCTCCACAACGAAGTGGCCAAGCATGTCCTTTGATGACTTCACCAAATTTTCTTTGCACAAAAACTCATCACTAGTAACCCTATCCACCTCCCTATTAAAATCATGCACAAAAACATGTGTCTTGGCTCCGCCGTTACCCTTTTTGCTCCTCGCGAGTACGCTGGCGGTGAAGATTGCCGCCATACGCCCAGGTGCGTCTGGCCAGTAACCTCTCGGCCCATCAACTAGTATGACATCCCAGTCTATTTCGTATAATTGGTTCGGAAGGTCGTTTAGGCCGAGCTTGCAGTCCGAGAACAGAAGGTTCTGCACTGGCCTGCACTCATTCCGCACTTGTTCTCTCACTGTTGCTATCAGCTCCTTCATTTCGCTCATCTTTGTCGTGTATTGCACGTCGTATGCCTCGATCTCCGGGTGCTTTTCCTCCATGTACGCCGCATAGTACCTGATACAATGAACAAAATGTGAACAACATAATTTGTATTTGTACCAAGAATATTACTACCATCTTTTTATGAATCAGTTAAATGCTAAAATATTATTAGAAATTATTTTAAGAAGATGGTTAAAAGTTAGTTTTTTTATTTTTTTTAAAATAAAAATAAAAATATGAGAGATGAATTAAAAGTTGGAAGATGACTTTTAACCATTTTCTCAAAAAAGTCCTAGCTAAAACTATAGTGAAGAGATTTTTTTTTTAAAAAAAAAAAATTGTATTAATTTTAAAATTAAGTTTACAATAATTTTTTATAATTAAAGATAATTCTTAAAATAAGGCCAAGTTTGGCTAAACTAAAAAAGTGCACTTATTTCATCTTTTTATCTTTTTTGGGTCACATCAATCAACATCTCCTCTCTACTTTTTTTACACATAATACAAGAAAAGTCAAAAAAATATACTTATTTAGTCTTCCCAAACTTGGCCTAAATGAGATCTAAAAGAAAATAAAAATATTAAAAAGAATAAATTACACTTTTAATCATTGTATTTTGATTCAAATTTTAGTTTGGTCTTTATTCTTTCAAACTAAACAATTTGGTTCATTTACTTTAAACCTAGTTTTAATTTGTCATTCTGTTTAAGTTGGAAGATAAAATTAACAATTTTGGAATAGTTGTCACAAAAAAAAAATAAAAATAAATTAAAGGAAATTTGGATAGAAGAACGAAATTAAAATTGGATTTAAAATATAATTAAGGATTAAATTGTTTAAATTAAAATAATAGAGAGCAAAATAAAATTTAAATCAAATTATAAAAGTGAAAAGTATAATTTATTTTATTAAAAAATATAAATCATTATTTTAAAACAAGTAATATAATTACTGCCATTTTTATTCAATTTGCTTTTCTATTCAATTTCCTTTTTTATTTAATTTCCAAATAGATCGTTAAGGTATAGTGGTTTAATGAATGAACTTCTATGTTTAATTTTATGCAGTTTCCATTTCTATTTTTATTCAACTTTTTTTTTTTTTAAATTTCCATCTCTCCATCCCTACCGGTTTTCATCGATGAAGACGGTGCGGCCATGGTGGTTGAGTGCTTTCCAGAGGAGAGTTTCGGGGGTGAGGCCGAAGACGAGGAAGTTGCAGGGGGAGGAGCACTGGCGGAGGACGTCGGAGATGGGTTTCATGTCGGTGTAGGACATGCCTTCGGTGGTGTTGGAGGTGGAGGCATAGTGGAGGAGTGCCTTCATGACGGCTTTCGACAGTGGCGGTGTGTTTGTGGTGGCGGTGGCGACTGAGGTGGCGGCAGCTGTGACGGTGGTGGCTATGGAGTCTCTGGTGTAGATTAGGGTTAGAAGGAAGGCTAATGTGAAGAATGAAATGAAGGCTAGAAGGTATAGGCGGTTTGAGCTGCCTTGTTTTTGGATGTAGGGGTGGAGGAGGATTAGCTTTGTGTTGTTTCCAATATTGTTCTTCATTTTTAGAGAGAGAAAGGGAGAGTTGGGATGGTTAAAGAAAGTCCCTGAGAGGGTTGAGAGAGAGAGGGTATGATTTTAAAGAGGGTTGGAGTAAACAAACAGGTGATGCAAGGAATAGGCAGTAGTAAATATGAAGGTTACATAACATTAGCAGCTAATATACTATGTTGTGATTGTGAGAACCCAACCATATTGGACTAACATGCGCAAGCTGGGGGACAAAGTTTGACTTGGACTTATCCTTTGATTTTTTTTATTTTTTATTTTTTTTATATATATTTATAATATATATATATATATATATATATATATTTATTATTATAGCAATGATCGATGCGAGTAAGTTATTCCATTCTCATCAGTATTTAAAGAATTGCACAATTACATGGGGTCCCCTACTCCTAAACAAAGGAACTCTCCTATGAGTTATGAGCCTATCTAATCTTTGGAAACGTTACGTTTAGTTTGGTTTTAAGAAATTTATTTTAAAATTGTTTTTAAAAAATTTAAAAGTTAATTTGGTGAAAAATATAAAATATAAAACATAAAAAGTATTTATTATTTTTACATAATTTTATCTTTTTAGAGGGCAAAAATAATTTTAAAAATATATTTTTGATATTTATTTTTGTCAAATTAATTTATATATATATTTTTAAAAAAAATTCCAGAGAATGAAATCAAACATAGCTGTAATATCTCGTCCACACATGCTGTACAATAATTTATTTTTAAGGTCACTCAAGAAAGTCAAGTATTTTATGAGATTTGAACTCATAAATCACTTCACAATAATCTCTCATCCCACATGTATCTATTCTCTTTGATGGCATTTTTCCAACGCTCTTGGAGCTACACAATCACATCTTGTTCATCCTGAAATGCAAAGAGTTACGTAATCGTGTGACTTTTGAAGACATAAAAACTTTGTCCGTCTAACTCTCGATAACATATAAATATCTCATCTCACATATATGAAATAATTATTAGGCACACAGATTTTGGAGTGATATCAAGAGAACCAAATACTTTATAAGATTCGAACTCATAATCCACACTGACTTCATATATTACAATTCTATTTATTACTATTCAACGCTTCTATCAGTTTGAATGTATTTGTGTGCTCATGATTCAACATTCATATTATTTTTAAAGTAATTTTAACATGATACGTATAATATTATACTATATTTTTATTATTTCAAGTGTTAACATTGCATTAAATATAGGGGGATGAGATTCATTATACCAATATTATATTGACACATAAGATGATAGCATTATTGATTTTAATACACTCTTTGCTTTAAAAATTAGGAAAACGTTTGGTAGCCCAAAATTTTGTGGCTCAAATGGCTCAAATCTGTCAAAACTACGTCGTTTTACACTCAAAATCTGTCAAAACGACGTCGTTTTGAGTGATTTGAGCCATTTGAGCCACAAAATTTTGAGCTACCTAGCATTGTTGTAAAAATTATTGCATGCCAAGAGCATACAAATCAACCAATCACAAATTATTACGGCTCGATATTGTTTCTCCAAATATTAGCATAAATAGATACATCTTGTTGTCAAAACCAATCAACAGTGAAAAACTTTAAGTGCATGAACGCATAAATAACAAAAGAAATTCATTAAATATGTGGATTCCACTGTACATATAAAATAACCGATACCCTCTTCTCAAGGAACTTGTTAGTGTTAAAATTGGGCTGAATTTAATTTTTTTTGTTGTGGGTTTCGATGCAAGACACAGAGAAGGAAGGGGGGTAGTTGGAGAGTGGAGCTGGTGGAAGGGGGAAAGGTATTTGGTAAGGTTGTAGCGAGCGACCCGGTAACTAATTACAGGCCGAGAGTCGCTTTTCCTTGTTCGCTTCATCTTTTGATTCCTACGTAACCCCTTCGCTAAAAATATGTGTAAACAAGTACTTCTGATAGAGACAAATCAACTACAACTACTAGTTTTTGAAAGTGGGGTTCCAAAAATGCAATTATGAGATTTACGAAGTGAAGGTTATGTATATAGTTTGACAACTCAAAACTATATTAATATACGAATATAGTTATGTTGGCTGATTGGGCTTGTTATGTGCTGTTACAAATCAAAAGTCGTTTCATTATACTATTTCTGCTATCAATTTTTGTCACCCAAAAATGATATGTATTATATAAATTTTATTTTGATAAAATATGAATTATACTTAAAATGATTGTAATTTGAAAAAAAAATACTTTTCAAGTACCATTTAAGATAATTTTTATGGGCATGTACTATTCTTATGAATTAGAAAAATTCAGCTTTCTGAAAATGAATTTTTTATTTTTTGTATTTTTTTGTTTAGAAAATATTTTTAAAATTTTATTCTTTTTTTTTTTACTTTTTTAGATGAACCTTACTTAGATGTATCTAAAAAGTTAAGTATTTGTGAAAAAATATTCTAAAAAACTAATAAATGCACAAAAATATGAAAAATATATTGACTTTTCGTATTTTTTATTTTATATTTTTGGTATTTAGTGAATTAATTTTTTCACGAAAATTATATTTTTTAAGTGTATTTATGTTATGTTAGGTGTGTCTAAAATTAAAAAAATTATTTAAAATATTAAAAAAATTAGTAAAAATAAAAAAAATACGAAAAATAAGAAAGAAATTTTTTAAAAAATATTTTCAAAAAACTGGAAACAAACATAATGAATGATACTCACTTGAAAAATTTACTTGGAAAAATTTATTGAATTTAATATTTAGGAACAAGGTTCATTGTGATTTTAGCTCCACAACAAAAAAATTTAAATCTACACCATAATTTTTACATACAAATGAGTTTTTGAATAACATTTTGAAGCAAGTATAATTTATTTTTTTAATAAATATTTGATATGTTTGATTGCGTTTTTATTTTCGCTTTCTGTTTTTATTTATTCTAAAATACAAAAAATTGTTTGAAGAATTGTTTTTGAAAATTATTTTTTAAAAAACTTTCTCAAATATTTAGGATTCATCATGAATTTTGTTTTGATTATATGAATAATTTATTTTATAGAAGCTTTATGTATAGAACCTGAAGCCCCTTCGGGAATGTAAAACTCAGTACGAGTCTCGTTTTCAATAGTCTAAAACGTATATTTTGTTGATCATTTTGTGTATTTTATTTACGAAAAAAAATTAAGTCAATTCAATAATCATAACTTATGTAATTTATTGCATTTGTCAATAAAAAAAATAGACGACAATTCTTTTTTAAAATACACCATTCATTTTTCGGTGACAAATATAATAAATTGAATATAATTATCCTATTGACTTAATTTTTGGTGTAAATCAAATACATAAAATACTTAATAAAGTTAACAATTCAAATCATTAAAACGGATCTCGTAATAAATCCCACCATATCCTTATTGTATAGGGTCTAGCTTGTTTCATATTAAGATCAAGACTAGATTCATCCAGTCTAGCCCATGGGTTCATTTTTGGAGCCCGTTTTAATAATTCAAACTGTTTAATGTGTAGAACTCGTTGAGCACTATATCCTTGCAAAAAATCAAGTTGATTGGATATCGATAGCTATTTGATCGGATAAGAATTCTTCCAACCGTTTATTTTTTCATCATTCATTGTTTTAATACAAAATCGGATCCGATCAAATATCTATCGATATCCGATTAATATAATTTTGTACAAAAATATAGTATTTGACGAGTTCTATATATCCAACGGTGCAAATTATTAAAATGAGACTCAAAAATAGACTTATAAGCCGGCCTAAACGAGTCAAGTTTTAATCTCAACATATGAGAAGCTGGATCCATTGTATATCAGTCATTCATTAAAAAAATAATAATAAAAATAAATAAAAATAAAGATTGATCCGACATTACCCCGATCAGATTTGAACTTTACAAAAAATAGACCCAGATTGCGTTCCATCTCTCTACTCTCGTCTCCGGTGTCCACATCCACACCGTAAAACCGTAGGCAAGCAAGCACACTGTCAAATCAATTTGGCCTAGGGCTTGACAGCAACGCCACCGTGTTGGAGATCCATCATCCATGGACGACATGGCGGCATACTACCCACCTCAGTCAGGCCTCCCCCACGATCCTCGCTACCCATACTACCACCCTCCTCCGCCACCGCCGCCGCCGGCGGTGGCTGAGCAACATTACCACCTGCCCCAGCTATTCCACCCCCAACCCCCCCCATTCGCCTCCTACGCTCCTCCACCGTATTCACAGTCATCGCACGATCAGGTTCGGACACTATTCGTAGCGGGGCTTCCCGAAGATGTCAAGGCTCGCGAAATCTACAACCTCTTTCGGGAGTTCCCTGGCTACGAATCTTCTCACCTCCGTAGCCCTAACGCTTCTTCACTGGTACTCACTTTTTCATTCTCCATATGTTACAGAAATGTGTTTGTTTGTTTGTTTGTTCATATCACTTGTTGTTGTTTGGATATTAGGAAAGAGGAGTGAAATGGGGTGAAATGAGAAGAAATTGAGAGAAAGCAACATAATACTATTTTTTCATACCAAAACCGCCTTTTTCGATATAGAAAAAGAAAACAAAAAAGGAGATTCTGTCATGGGTTCCCAGAGGGTTTCATTTGAAAAGATTTTTAGATAACAATAGAAAATGAAATGCTTCAAGTGGGTAAATCTATTCGTTGGCTTTATCAGTACATATTTTCTGTTCTTTAGTTTCCTTGAATTTGCCAGAGAAGGGCTAATTGTATCCGGAAATATTGATTTTATTCTTAAGAATTGTGTTTTTTTAGCTAAATTGTGATACTCCAAATGGCAAGCATAGACATATGATACGACATAGATACACTAACACAGTCATTTTTTTAAAATATAAGACACAACACATGAGGGCACACACAAATGTATAGTTATATATCACACAAATGTATAGTTATATATTTATTATGCGTTATATATATGAATATGTTATGTTAAGATAATAAAAAATGTAACATAACACTAATTAATATAAATTTACGTTCTTTTTCTTTTATCTTTGTATCTTAAGTTATTTTGTTCAAATTTATAATTAATTTTATGTGTGCTTGAGCGATTGACATGTTTGTCCCCAAAGTGTTTGAAGTGTGTTTGAGTCTAAAAAATTAAAAAAATAGTACACCTTTGGATGAGTATTTTATAGGTGCTGGAAAGTGTCTGACGAGTGTACACAACACAAACACGTCATCTTCTTAGAGGTGTTCGTGCTTTTTACATTCAAACGCTATCAAAATTTCAATTAGTTCAATTTTAACACCCAATTGTCTATTTTGATTTTCATGAAGTTTTCAAACTACAGTGAATTATTTATTTACAATGTAATAAGCAAGACACACATGACTGTGTTCCAACTGGTTCTTGAACCTTGACAACTTTTATTGAAGGATAATATCTAGTTGCTAAGAACTGAGTTGAAGCTTATGGAACAACTGTTCAACATTGATTTGTAAAAAGAGCTACATGGAAATGCTTCTTTTTGCATCAAAACATTCTCTTACTTTCCCAACTGTTATATCCCTTACTCCCTTAAAGTCCCCCTTCTTCTACATGGTTTTAAAGGGATATAAGTGATTTTAAGCTTTACATGAAGTGGTCCATATTGATAATGATTTGGGGATTATTATTAGTCACAGTTTTCTACATGTTTGTGAGCAAAACTAATTCCTATATCTATCAGAATTTGTATATCCCATTTCTCTCTCATGAGTTGCTGATATCTAACATGCTCTTGGGTGTTCTCAGCCATTTGCTTTTGCTGTATTTATGGATCAACAGTCAGCAATTGCAGCAATGCAGGCACTGAATGTAAGAACATCTTTACACGCGTTTGAAAATATTGTAAATAGCTACTTATATATATATATATATATTGTGTATACAACAACTTCTTATTTTGTAAAAGCTATGGTTATTTAGTGCTCTATTATCAACAATAGAAAATAAATGTGTGCCCATTTTATTTTTTTTTGCATAGGTTAGTATGGGTTAATTTTTGGTACATGGCAGGCATACCCTTTTGATGCCCATTTAATACAATTTGCTTTACTTATCAAAGTAAAACCGGGGAAGGTCATGCACAAGTACAAGGCAATTCTAAACATATTCTAAAAAATTCAATGATACTTAATGTCACCCTCATACAACTCGCATTTGCCTTAGGTCCTAGGGAGAAAAACATCTTTGATATTGGTTGGTCCTCCACCCGTGGAATATGAGAGCTTTCGATGGATTGCCCTGAGTTTGTATGTATGGGAAATAAAAATTGGTCTGATGTAGAGATTTTATGGTGCTCACATTTGTAGAACCTTGTACGTTGTGTGGAAAAGGCATAACTAAATCTTATGGTCATAAATGCTTTTCTGCAGGGAATGGTGTTTGACCTGGAGAAGGGATCCACCTTATACATTGATCTAGCAAAATCTAACTCGAGGTCTAAGCGCACCAGATTTGGTATGCCAACTAGAACTTTTTAATTCAGCCTTCCTGCTGCCTATGTTTCTACTTTTTGTTAACTGTTGGTGGCCTTAATTGTGTGAACTTGTTGATTAGATGATGAAAAACCTGGCTCGGAGAAGAGAAGTAAAGGATCTGCTGCATTTTCAAGGGGCATTCATGATCCTGGTATGGTGGCTGCCCTGAACTGTTCAGAGTTCCATAAGGAGCTCTTTATCTAAACATTTTTTCTTTTAGTTTTACCCCCTCTGACTGAATTATTTAATACAGATGAGGTTTTGATCTCTATTTTGCGTCCTCATAGCCTACTTCTTACCATTTCCTTAATTTCTTGGATGATGAAAAACCTGGCTCGGAGAAGAGAAGTAAAGGATCTGCTGCATTTTCAAGGGGCATTCATGATCCTGGTATGGTGGCTGCCCTGAACTGTTCAGAGTTCCATAAGGAGCTCTTTATCTAAACATTTTTTCTTTTAGTTTTACCCCCTCTGACTGGATTATTTAATACAGATGAGGTTTTGATCTCTATTTTGCATCCTCATAGCCTACTTCTTACCAGTTCCTTAATTTCTTGACATTGTTGTGGGTGTTTGTCTGATCTGTTGCTTTGAATACTAGTAGTTAGTCACTTGGTGAACACGTTATTCTAAAAAGCTCACATTGCACATGTTCTGCACGCTTGGGCACTAGCAGGTGTTGGCAACGTTCACATGCCTGGAATTGGTAATTCTGCTTACAACACGATTGGTTATCCATCTACACAAAGGTCATCTGCACTACTTAAAGACCATTTTTATTACTTAGAAATGATTATTTCTAGCTGAATAAGCACATTTCCCTGAATTTGGAGGACACTGTCAGCCTTACAAGAGAACAATTCTATGGAACCTCATCTAATTTTTCCTTGTTTTTTCCCCTTGTAATCCAGTCATGCAAACTTTGATGGTAGAGCTGTGAATGAGACAAGCACTGCAACCTTTGTAAGGCTTTACTGTTGGGTTTATATTTGGTTCAATTAAATTCAGCTTCTATAAGTTTCTCATACCATTTCTTTCTGCTTCCAAAGAGATTGTATGATTTGTTCTTCAAAGTATGAATCAACTATTTGTGATTTGTTTTTCTTGATAAGATCATTGATAAACCGAGCGTGCCTTCTTTTCCTTTCCACAAAAGAATTTGGAAAGCTTTCATGCCTCTCAAGGTGAAGCTTTTTGTGTGTTCGTTGGTACATGGGAGCATTTTGACCAATGATATCTTTCAAAAGAGGAGACCTAATTAATTCATTCTGACCAATTATTTTAAGTCCTGTTTTTTCTTCATCTCATCTATTTATTTTGTTTTGAGCACCTTATATATTCGGGAATCATGAGACAGGCTGCAAGGCAAATCAGTGTAAAAAAAATTATAAATGTGGATTGTGGACCTTATCCATAAAAATTTTAAAACTGATGGACCTTTTCCATCAAAAACTGTTGGGGTGTTTTCTTCTCCCATCAGAAAACTAGGTAGAGGGATTTTTAACCAAATTTCTAAAATGATTATGTTATCAATTAATGTTATGACTCCGCTTTATTTTAATTACAGTGGTCTAGTTACCCTCAAATACTCTAAAGAACTCTGTGGACTTGTTCTGTTGTTGTTGGTTGTCAAGCCATCTGTTAAATATGTCAACATGAGAGCTTTAGCTATGAAACTAATTCTTTGCGAAAGCAAGTACCTCATACGTCACACTTGTTGGGTTAATTTTTCTGGGCTGTTTTGGAGTCACCTGCCTTTGTAGTGTAGTTCAATTGTCCATTTTGGGATATTTGGAAAATTAAACAAAATAAATTCGCCATGGCTCTTATCCTAACCATTTTAACATTGTCCCCTTGGATACTAGTATTTATGGTTGTCAAAAGTCAATTCTTCTTTAAAGATGATCCACAAACCTACTTGAAAACTATATTACCTGGATGCAATAGACTCCCACACTACTTCTAGATGGTATTTTCCAATAGCATCATTATCCATCATTTTAATTGATCTTGTTATTGGGCCTTTCGCATTTGCATAACCAATTCCTCATGTTAAATAGTTTATCCGGTATGCTTGAATCTTTATTCACTAATTCAGTTCTTTGGGATTTTTGTCTACATTAGCAAAACAACTACTCTGCACCTCATGTTCCGCAAAATGTTAATGCATGTCCAACACTATTTGTGGCAAATTTGGGGCCAACTTGTTCAGAGCAAGAGCTAATTCAAGTCTTTTCAAGGTTTGGAGTAATTATTTTTATCATGTACTTTCCTAATATGTGAAGCTCGTGGAATTTAATTTTTTATTTCTTTTTGTCCTTTCCCAGTTGCCATGGATTTATAAAATTGAAGATGCAGAGCACATATGGAACTCCGGTTGCATTTGTTGATTTTCAGGTACTTTGTTACTGTCATTGAAGGTTAAAAAACCAAGCTGCAATTTTTTTTGTAGTAGTATGAAGTGTCATGATGGCTTTTCAATATCTGGTGGATCTTCCTTATTTTTGGGATTGATTTTAATTCAGCATGGTGAAATGAAAAATGCTACTTAGAATTCTTTGGATGATAGTAAATTTGTTATAAACTCAATAGACGTTTAGGGTCTCATCATTTACCTACAATGCTTTTGTAGAAGAATTTACGCTGTGTTTGGTTTGATTCTCAAACCATGATTCCACACTAATAATCAATCCTCTGTTTGATTACAGTTTTTAAATCATAATTCCAAATCAATTTCAAAACACATTTTGAAAACATGTTTGGTAAATCAGAGAGTTTTTGAATTTTTGGTCTATCCGGTCGTCCGCCCAGACATCCTCCTAAACAATTTTTGAATTTTTGGGTCTATTCAGACGTCCGGCCGGTTGACTTGAACAGCGGTCAAATAGTGTTATTTATTTATTTATTATTTTATAGCAATTGGCACCTGTTATCTGAAAAAAAAAAGATTTATATTTGTTTTTGATATTTTTTTAAATATAAATATAAAAAAAAAAATTGAGACCAAAATGACAAATTATTTGGACATTTATTTAAAATTAACAAAAAAATATTTAAAATAAAAATTAATTTGTCACAGTAATTTTTAAAAAATAAAAAAATATTTTTAAACAAAACAATTAAAATAATATTTCCAACTAAATATACAATTAAAAGTAATTTTAACGCACTAGCTGAATATTTTTGTTAACAAATAATAATATATTTTTTAATATTTTAAATAAAAAATATTTTCGAAATTTTTAAAAAATTTTAAATAAAAAAATTATTTTTCACAAACATTTTTTTTAATAATTATTTTTTGTGAATTGAATTTTAAAAAGAGTGTGATTATGAGTTTTGAATAGAATCTTTAATAGAGTTTTGAGTTGTGTGTTTGGTTATAAGTTATAAGTTTTTTATTTAATAGAGTTTTGAGTTGTGTGTTTGGTTATGAGTTTTAAGTTTTTTAATTAAGTTTTGAAAACTCTTTTCAAAACTCCTAATCAAATAATTTTTCACAAACTCAATACTCAATTTAAAAATTCAACACTCAATTCAAAATACAATTTAAAACTCTTTTTAAAACTCATAACCAAATAAATTTTCTCTTTTCAAATTATAATTCCAAAATTCACAAACTCAAAATGCAACTCCACACTCAAATCATAATTCTAAACACAAACCAAACGCTACCTTTAGTTTTTACTCCTGCAATCCTTTTACCTTGGGAATCTTTTTATTCTCTCTTTCTTTGTTCGTTTTTTGCTTTTGTAGATTCTTACATGGTTTGTTCAAACCATGGAAATAACCTCTCCCCAAATGGAATTGCCTTTAGATTCTTGCATGCTTGTAGATTTAAGTTTGTAATTAAAATATTTTTTACTCCTAGGGAATCTTTTTATTCTCTCTTTCTTTGTTCGTTTTTTGCTTTTGTAGATCCTTACATGGTTTGTTCAAACCATGGAAATAACCTCTGCCCAAATGGAATTTGCCTTTAGATTCTTGCATGCTTGTAGATTTAAGTTTGTAATTAAAATATGTTGGAGGTGGTTGCGGGTTAGGGTTTTCACATTGATTAGAGGGATAAGAATACAGGGACATAATTGTCTTTTTGCATTGAAATTTGACTTTTGGATATATATATATATGTGCCAACTCTCAAAATAGGGAAATTCTATTTCCACACATAATGAAATATTAATTTAATAACAATTATATCCTAAATAAAAATGACCATAATAGACATCTAGCAACATTCATAATATTATATAAAAAAATTCTCTATACACATCTTTTAAGAATAAAAAAATCTCAATGTATACCTTTTGAGTAAAAAAAATAAACCCTAGTTTTTGCATTGTTGTTACATTGCTTGTTATACACTCTATACTCCTATTACTTGCAAAATAATACTCTCAAAACATCTCTCATATTGTTTTAATCTCTATTTTGGATTTGTTTTGTGGTGTTTTTTGGTTTTGGAATGCTTTGCTGGTGTTTTTTTGGGATTTGAAGACTGACTTATGGCTGCGTTTCACTTATATTGACGTGTGCAATGCTAGTAGTTGCTTGTTCTTTTGGGTATGAACCTGTGCATGGGATTTGAAGCGTTTTTGTTCTTTTGATTATTTGGTGGTTGTTTGGTGGAGGGTTTTATGCCACGAGATTTGAAAATGGTAAATGTAATGATAAAAACATAAATGTAATAATAAAATGAAAAAATTCCTTATCTTCAAGAAGGGTTTTCAATGGTTTTCACTAGAGGTTCAATAGAGGTCTTCAATGGAGGAAACTTCACTGATTTTGGTCTTCACTTTTGTGTGGGTGGAACTACAAATGTGAAGTAGGGTCAATAAAAGTGTGGGGAAAGGAGGGTAAAGAGGTGTGTATACAATGGTTATTAGTGAAGAGTGTAATTGTAACTTTAAGTGTGTGGATTGAGAAAATTAGTTAATAATCAAATTAATAAGGATGTGTATTGAGAAAAGATGTGTACTGAGCTAATTAAGGGTGTGAAAAAAGAATTTCCCCTCAAAGTAGGCGTGCGGGACATAATTTCAGTCAATTTGGATGGAACTATTGACAAGGGAAACTGAAATTACAGAAGGGCCAAAACCATGTGAGGTCATTTTGGCTATTTTTTAATGTCAAGGAGGTGAAGTGCAAAAGGCCAAACTGAAAGGGGTAAATTGACTTTTCCAAAAAGGAAAAATGGAAAACAGAATTGTTGCATTCAATGTGAGAGAAATCCATCCTGTGAAACCAAGCTTACTTTCGAGAATAGTACGTAATAGGAAAATTGATAATATCATCACAAGAAGCAAACTTCCTTCAACTTAGTTTTCTGCATATAGCTGAGGCAATAGGCAAAACAATTTATGGTTCTTTTGCAATCTCTATTATAAGTATAGGAGTAACGATATACAAACAGAAAATTTATACAGAATAATGTGGCTTAATGTATTCCTTTCATTTTAAAACAAAAAAACCCATGAATATTAGTTTTATGTACAAAAATGACATTGCTACATCATTTTTGTGTTTTTTTGTATTATTATTATTATTATTTGTATGAATAGAGTTTTTCCTAGTTTATTACTGCTGCATTTATGTGCAGGATGCTGCCTGTTCATCTGAAGCACTGAATCATCTGCAAGGGACAATTCTGTACTCATCGCCGCCTGGTGAGGGCATGCGGTTGGAGTATCCTTCAGAAGCACATTAAGCTTCTTTATTTACCCTTTGTTTTTTTCTCCCCCTCTCATTTTTCTTTGAATTTTCTGTTGGTTATGTCATCAAAGTTTTTGCTTAATGAGAAATTCAGGTATGCAAAATCACGGATGGGAATGCGTAGTAAGAAGTCGAGGTAAATGCAAGTGTATCATGGGGAAAGGTGATGAAACTTCCAGTGCGATTTTACTCAAGTGAATCTGAGTGAATCTGCATTTGTACGTGGTTTTATGCTGAGATATAGGTTAGTTGAATGCTTGTTGTAGCTGTTTGGATTTTAGCTGCCCGTGAATCTAATACCAGGGGAAGGGTAAGTTTTAAATTATTTGCTTCTACTATGTTTTTGCAGCAACTTTTTTTTTTTTTTTCAAATTTTTATTTATTTGGGTGCTGCCAGGCTACAAACGAGCGGAGTTGAGTTTTAGTATGTTTGAGTTTATTTATTAAGATTTTAGCGAGTTTGAAATCCAGGTCGAGCTCAATAAAGATTTTAATGAACCAAGCTCAAGTCGAGTTGGTTTGGTGGTGTTTTGAAAAATTGGTTAAAAGTCGACTTTTTGATTTTTTTTGTGACTTTTTGGCTTTTTTGTGTTAACGATCCTTAATGAGCCAAAGAAACTATAAATTTATATTTGTATATAAGACTAAAATTATAATTAAAATTTTTATTATACAATTATATATACAATATATATAAACATACTAAAAGAAAAACTAATATGTTACCAGAATAATAATTTCTACAACTACTATTATATGAATATATTATCTATAGTTAGTTATTATTTATATATAAATAACATATGTATCCTATTTTTTTTTTGACACATGTTTAAACATTATTTAACATATAAATAATATATTTATTTTATTATTTAAATAAATATTAAATGAGTCGAGCTAACGAGTTGAGTTTTAGCATGTTCAGACTTGTTTATTAATATTTTAACAAGCTCGAACTTGAACGTAATAAAAATTTAACGACCAAGCTGTGTTCGAGTCTATTGATGAACAGGTATGTTCATTTGTAGCCCTAGGTGCTGCTAATATATCCCCAGGAATTTTTTTCGACCCTCCACTATTAAAAAAGAAAGAGGGTTAATTACACTTTTTACTCTTGGAGTTTGACTTAAATTTCACTTTAATCTCTATAGTTTTAAATTAAATAATTTGGTTCTTGCATTATAATTTTAGTTTTAATTTGGTCATTCCATCCAAATTGAAGATTAAAATTAATATTTTGAAACAACTGTAAATATTTTTAGATTTCAATTTGATTTAAAGTGGAGGGACTAAATTAAAATTTGGGTTAAATTATAAAGGTAAAAAGTGTAATTAACTCAAAAAATTATTACTATTATTGTAATTTGACCCTATAATAAAATTTTAATTCGTCTTCATTTAAACTCTCAAATCCTAACCCAAACCTTATTCCACCCATTACCACCAACTCTGCCACTCTCACCTGCCCATTTCTAGGTCTGGTTACCACCCTTTTAACCCCTCTCTAGCTTGTATCCATCTCCGAAGAGATTTCCAAATCCCCCATCAAGTTCCTTGCCCCTGGGCGTACACTTCGTCTTGCTCTGGAAAGCGGGACAGCCCCCTATTACAGGGTTTTTTTTTTCACAATGGATCCGAACAAGCTCTTTTATTTGAGTGTGTATTGACCGGAGAAGTTCCCCCCTTTGGTGAGCTTCCTCTGGAGCATTCTCCTGCGGAGCCGCATTATCGGGCCACGGCTCTTCTTCCAATGCTCCCCATATTACTTCCTGGCGAATCCCTGGGGTTTCAACCCGGGGCAAAGGGGGACTGGGTTCTGCCCGGGGGCCAACGCCAGTAGAAGAGGAAGATGCTTCCGGCCGGCCAGGATTAGTTCCTACCCCTCTGCACACCCAACCTCCCCTTTCGTTGCAACCGCAACCCCTGTAGCCCCCTTTAACCCTGCAACCACCACATTTATAGTACCTTTGCAATGTCTATCTTGCCTTTGTATCTTCTATCTTTCCATCATGATTTCATTACCATCGGAAGGAGAATGTGATGAAGGGTGGCGGGTGAGGGTTGCAGGGGTCGGGGCGGGTCGTTCTGAAGGAAGGGTCTAGCGGCCGAAGCTAGGGAGGGGGGGTAGAGTTGGCGGTGGTGGGTGGTAGGGTTAGGGTTTAATAGGGTGGAGGTTATTTTTTTGGTATTAAGTGGGGGTGTGCAAATTTTTTTACAATTTTTTCCCCTCTTAAGAAATACTAGAAGAGGGGTTAAACAAAATTGAAGAAGAAAACAGACTTTAAATGCTAATCTTGAAAAAAAAATAAAAAAAAAAAATGAACGGAGAACATAGAAGTTAGCAGCAGTTCAAATATGATCAAGTCTAGGTTAGCCCGGTGTCGCCTTTTAGGTACTAAGAGACTCCCTTGTTTTAGCAAACTGAAACTTTTCTGGCACTGTTCTTACATTGTTTTACTGCGAATTGGTCTCTTTTTGTGCTTTTTTGAAAAAGTCTGAATTGGGCACTTTTTGAATCCTCCTCCCTGGCAATGAACCTGGAGTTACAAGTGACCAGCACAATTTGAAACCTGGAAATGAACTGGAATTGCTGGAAAATGATTGGGTGGTTTCAGAATTCTGGCAAAGTATTGCCCAAAATTAAGAGATCCTTTTAGATGAAGGCATTAGTGATTTTGGGAACACTAACAATTGATCAATGATGCTTCCCAACTACTCTTTTGAAAATGTCTCGCCATGCAGAAACTGATCGCAAAATGGTGCATAATCCTTTCATATGAAGTGAATTTTATCTTCTTATGAGTCTTACCTTCATGTGAGATTGTTGTGTCTGATTATGTGATTAATTTTCAAATAGAACTCTTTTTCTTTTTTTTGTTAAGTAGTCAATAAGAAAGAAACCCAAAGAAATAACCCACAATTGCCAATTACGACTTTGGCACAAGATATCCATTCTCAATCTGGGGAGGCTTGTTAAAGGCTTTTTGCTAATTGGAAAGTGTTAAACATAAACTTCCTAGTTCTTTCTTTTTTTTCACAAGATACATAGGTTATTGGATTTCACATGTATTTATTATTTGTAGGTCCTATATACTTTTTGTTAATTTTATTAGGACTTGATTGAGTTCATGTGAACATTGACTACTTGTTTATTGTATTTTCTTACAAGTTGAAAAATTAGTAATTGGAGAGTAGAAACTAAAAATATTTCTGTCTTACTTTATTAATTAGATATAAGTAAAAATTTAATTAAATGCTGACATAAATTTTAATATAAAAGGACATAAAAATGATAGAAAAATAAAACAAAATTCCAAAATAAAATTGATTAACCATTGATAGGATGAGAGGTCAACAACAATGAAGTCTACATTTTTCTTTTCACCTAATTTTTTGACTTTTAGCCTCATATGAGTAATTATTGTGGACGGCTAAACTATATAATATAATTACTGTGTCTCTCCCGCATTCTCTCTTTCTGTGTAGTGCAATGCAAGATGACATCATCTGTTATAATAAATCTTGTTAAAAATGCATGAATGAGGGTTGACAACTCATGTTTTGTTATATTTATTTATTTATTTAACTGACCAGACCTAGGCCAAGTTTGGGTACTTCCAAAAAAATCAAAAAGCCAAAAAATTACTCAAAAAGTTAAAAAGTTAATACTATTCACCAAAAGTCAACAATTACGGCTGCACAACTCCCAATTCAAATTTTTCTCTACAAATCAATTTTTACAATTTTTTATTACACATTTTTCAATAAAAAGTCAAAAAGTTAACCCAAACATCTATATTTTTAACCTCAATTTTTTAGTCCAAAAAGACAAAAAGTGCACTTATTTAGTCTTCCCAAACTTGGCCCTAGTATGACTGACCAAAAAAATATCTTCTTGGCCATGAACATTTTATCAAACCATCCATGCATGCATGGACTTCTGGTTTCATAACTTTTGACTCCAAAACCATTGTGAAGGTATAAAATTGGCCTTAAAAGTCAAATACACCTTACTCACTCACACACTCACTCCACATAATGGTTTACTACGTGGTATAATGGTCTATTATAGCAAAGATCCATGGCCATTGATAACGCTAGGGTGCCTCTATTTGCACACCATATTTCATCTCAAGGCAAATTATTAATTGATTTATTTTTTATTACAATATTAACCATATATAAAATGACCACAAAGGACAAAAAGTTATAATACATACCTTTTGTAATCGAGTTCGACACTAAAATGTCGAACATATGGTTAATGTTCGAAAGAAACACTCCGGACAAGTGGTTAAGGTTCGACAGAAATAGTCCGAACAAATTGTTAAGATTCAAAAGTCCAGAGTCGAACGGTTTGCAAACTGCAATTTTCACCGACATCTTGAGGAGTCTTCACCACTGGTTCTGTTCACCGGTGTCTTGAGGAGTCTTTATCACTGGTTTTGCTCACCGGTATGTGGGGGTGACAATGAATCAGAGAAAGGAGTGGGAGATGGATCGTGAGTGGGGGTGGAGTGTGTGAGTAAGTGAATGAGAGTAAAAATGGAAGATTGTGGGTCGGGTGTGTAAGTAAGAGTAAAGATGAAAAGTTGTGGTGTGTATCGAGCAAATTGCTTATTTATCAATTTATTAAAGATGTGCTTTGAGTAGTGGTGTGCCTTGAGGTGAGAGGTGGTGTGAAAATAGAGCCACCCTAATGCTAGTGTTTGTTTATGTTGTTTTTGAGCACCCATTGAGCAGCGGTTTAAGATTTTTGAAGATTTCAGATTAAATATTAAAATAATTTAGTCTTTAAAAAATTGAGATCTTTGACAATAAGAATATTTGTTTTTTAAAATTTTCTTTTAAGACTTAGGCAACGGTCTGAGTAACCTAATGATTGAGTCACCTTTGAGGCTGGTTTATTTAATTTATTTGTTAAAAAAAATTTGATTCATAGTGTTTAGTTGTAATTGTAAATTATAATTTATTTAACTATTTAAGTTATTTGGTAAAAAACAGTAGAATTTTCTTAATTTTAATTTGTAACCTTTTTATTTTATTTGAAACTCTTAAATATATATGGACAAAAGAGCTCTTATCTAATTTGTCTTAATTTTAATTTTGAGAACATTCTGAATATTTGCTTAACAAAAAAATTATGTGACAACTTCTTTAACCAAATAAATTTAACCTTTTTTTTTTTAATTATTACGAATTATTTTTAAAATTAATAACCTAAAAAGTTATAATCTTAAAAGTTAATCTTATATCCTTTCAATGTCAAGTATTACTTTGTGTTTCTTTTTTTGAGCATTTACAAAATTATACTTGTAAAGTTCGGAAACAAAGCAAGTCATATGGACATGCCATGTGTTAAAGAGGGATTACTTGATGCGATTTCTCCATAAGTCGTTACGCATCAAGTTAGGTGAGACTATCGTAAGTTGTTCGGTGGTATTGAGACATGATCGAGCGTTATTAAAAGTATTGTAATTAGTAGAAGGAGTATAATTCACGGTTTTGCGTTAAGGTATGAAAAATAATAGAACG